TGTATCCTTTTGGAATTGGCCCTTTTCGCTATTAGTGTCTGGAGATCCACCCAGGTGGTTGTGTCCATGATCTCATTTTTATTGGTGAAGCGTATTCGTGGTGTGGGTGGCTCCGTCTCTTTAACCGTTCCCCCACTGAAGGACGTCTGGGTTGTTTCCAGATGTGTTTTGGCTGTTAGAAATAAAGATGCTGTAAACACTCATGTTCAGGTTCTTATTTTTCTGGAGTGAGCGGCTAAGAGTGCAGATGACCGACTTGTGCGGTAGCTGCAGACCTTGTTGTCTAGACCTGCCAGCCTGTTTCCAGAGCGGCTGTGTCCTCTTACACTTCTGACAAGCAGCAGACGAGTGTGGTAGTCTGCTCAGGCCGCCATGGCACAGTAGCACAGTTTCAAGGCATAAACGACAAGAATTTATGTTTTCAGTTCCGGAGGCTCCTGTCCCAGATCATGGCACTGGCAGCGTTGGTTTTCCGGGCAGCCTGTCCCCTTGGCCGGCAGACGGCACCTTGTCTGTGCACGTGGGTGGAGAGAGACCCCAGTCCTGCTGGGTCAGGGCCCCACTATGATGACCTCATTTCTTTAATTGCCTCCCTGAATGCCCTGTCTGCTGATCCAGTGACACTGGGAGCTAGGGCTCAACGTGTGGAGTCTGTGGCCACAAAGAGTCACCCAGTGTCTCCGTGGCCTTGCCAATGTTTTGTGCTGTGTTCTGATTTGATCATTCGAGCAGGTGTGTACTGATACCTTATTGTGCCTTCAGGTGCACCTTCCTGGAGGATGACCATGCACCTGCATGGGCGGAATGTCTCTGTGTGTCTTTTGCTTATTTTATTTTATTATTTAAAAAATTTTTAAAAAATTTTTAAATTTACATCCAAGTTAGTTAGCGTGTAGTGCGACATTGATTTCAGGAGTAGATTCCAGTGATTCATCCCCTACATATAACACCCAGTGCTCATCCCAGCAAGTGCCCTCCTTAATGCCCATCCCCCATTTAGCCCATCGCCCCACCCACAACCCTTCCAGCAAGTCTCAGTTTGTTCTCCATATTTATGAGTCTCTTCTGTTTTGTTCCCCTCCGTGTTTTTATGTGATTTTTGCTTCCCTTCCCTTATGTTCATCTGTTTTGTCTCTTAAAGTCCTCATATGAGTGACGTCACTATTTGTGTCCTTCTTTGACTAGTTTCACTTAGCACGATACCCTCCCGTTCCATCCACGTAGTTGGAAATGGCAAGATTTCATTCTTTTTGATTGCCTAATAATACTCCATTGTATATGTATATACCACATCTTCTTTATCCGTTCATCCATCGATGGACACTTGGGCTCTTTCTATACTTTGGCTATTGTCGGTAGTGCTGCTATAAACCTTGGGGTGCATGTGTCCCTTCGGAACAGCATCCCTGTATCCCTTGGATAAATACCTTGTAGTGCAGTTGCTGCATCGTAGGGTGTCTGCTCACAGCTCTTAGTGTCATGATGTAATTTTCCACCGTGGGGAGCTAGAAGAAGCTAAGCAAATGAAACCTAAAAACAAGAGAACTACAGGGATTTTCAAATGTTTAATCAACTCTTACTTAGTCGCAGTGTGTTATCTTCATATATCGGGTTTGATATGCTGAAATTTTACTTTACCCAGAATTAAAAATTTGTTGGGACATCTGGGTGGCTCAGTTGGTTAAGCCTCTGACTTTAGCTCAGGTCACGATCTCCTGGTTTGTGAGTTCGAGCCCTACGTCGGGCTCTGCGCTGTCAGCACGGAGCCCACTTTGGATTCTCTGTCCCCTTCTCTGCCCCTTCCTGCTCGTTTACCCCCCACCCCCCAAATAAATAAACATTTAAAAAAAGGACTTTTTGTGTTCATGTGATATTGGATGTGCTTTAAAGTCGTTTTGGGGCATTAAGGCAGTGCTGGCCTTCTGTTCTGGGGGTAGTTGCTCGTGTGTTAATTTTTCCTTTCTTGCTCTCACTCTCTCGGTGACCAGTTTATCTAGAATTTATCAGTTTCATTTTCTTGTTTTCAGAGAATGTTGGCTTTCAGAAGCTTTGGTGTTGTTGATTTTCTCCATTCTCTCCCCCACTGATCTCTGTTCCTGTGTTGATTTCCTTCCTGTCCCCAAAGCGGGATATTTAAAAGACAGCATCATATAAATGAGGGTCGTTTCTGTAGCAAATTGCTGGCCACAAGCCCGGTTTGTATTTCACCTAGTGAACATATTTTTGAAGCTTAATGTCAAGGGAAGTCGGAGCACTGAACTGACCTGTACGTCTTTCTAATTTTCAGGAGGGTTTGCGTTTGTGTATGAGGCTCAAGACCTGGGAAGTGGCAGAGAGTACGCCTTGAAGGTAACGAGGGTGGCATTTGTGTGGGGTTTGGGCCATTTTAAGTAGATCTCTAAGTTTCCGGAGATTCGTCCCTAGTATTTAGTTTGCTTTTTTTTTTTTAAATAGTCTGTCCTGTTTTTTCCCTCTGAGGGTGAGGCCATCAGCAGCTGCAGAACACTTTAAGCTGTGGCTTCCGACTTTGTGGCGAGGGGCGACCTCGGTGCCGACTGCCAGGAGGGTTCCACAGATAGCAGGGGGTTGAAAGTCACTGCTGTGAACTCTGTGTCCACAGCTTGGGGGGCGGGGGCCTCCTGGGGCTGTGCAGGTGCCGGTGCCAGGGCTACTGCTGAGGGGCTGCCTGACTTTGGAGGTTCGGAACAGAGGCCCGCTTCTCTGCCGGCGTCTTCTCCCATTTTCCTTGATTTTCTAACTTTGCTGTAGCCTCTTTGGAGAAAGCCTCCTGTTTTTCATTTTTCTTGTGTCCTTGGGTCATAAAAGACCATTTTCAAGGGTCTTAACCTTCTGTCAAATTTTTACACAGGCCAGATGTTAAAATACAGGTAAGCAGGTTAAGCTTTTAGATGCGTTGCATTTATTCTCCTGGGTGTAGAATAGAAAGATAAACACTCCTTAATCTTTGTGTTTATTTCCCGATACAGAGGTTATTGTCTAACGAAGAGGAAAAGAACAGAGCCATCATTCAGGAAGTTTGTTTCATGGTATCCTTTTCCCGGGACGAGAGCACGTGCGGTCACGTGGGGAGGCCTGCGTCGAGTTGTGGCCGCCCGCCGCCGCCGGGCCGCTCTCTTGCCCTTTCGGACACGCTAAAATTGGCCTTCCGCCTTCACTGGACCTGCCTGTAGAGTATTGGTAGGAGAAGGTTTCCTTCCTCCTCCTTCGCTCCCAGGGTAACAGTTAGAGGTTCAGTAGCTTTGCGGCCCGGGAGGTCTCCGTGCTCACGCAGGATTTGTTTCCTGCTCTCCGCCCTTCTGTCTTCCCCTTAGTGAGCGTGGCGTGCCCCGCTGCTCCGGCTCTTGCCAGGACCCTTGCTGGGCCTGGTTCTAGTGGGCCTCCGTGTCCCTCCTGGTCAGCAGCCCCTCTGTCCCTCACCCTGCCCCCGGCAGTCAGGCTGTCAGGTTTCTGTGCACGGCTCGTGGGTCTGTGGCGCTTCTCTTGCGGGCTCTCAGCTCTGGCACATGTTCTCCCTCAGCTGGGCTCTTGCCCTCTGCTGTCAGAATGTGTTCTCTTTTCTCTCTCGAAGCTCTGTGTACTGTGAGCCTGCGGGCTCTCGCCTTGCAGAGGTTTGGCGGGCTCATTCACACCCGTGGCCTCCCGCACCCGCACGTGCCCTCTGTCTGCTGTCCTGCCTGGCCCGTGGTCAGGTGCGTGTGGCCAGCGTGGTGGCGGTTTTCACCCCCACCTTCCCTCTCCGTTCCCCCCTCCCTGCCGCCTGCCTTTCACCACTCCCCCCCCCCCCCACTGCCCTCCGTCTTTCTGCTCCGATGTGCTGGGACTGTAAGGTAATTTCATTCCACACTTTGACTTTAGTGTCTTAATGTCACATGTATATTTGTTTTTAAACGTGCAGACTTACGCATTCTCCTTTAACAAGACACCTGCAGAAAAAACTTTCTGGCCACCCCAATATTGTCCAGTTTTGTTCTGCAGCATCCATAGGGAAGGAGGAGTCGGACACGGGGCAGGCCGAGTTCCTGCTGCTCACCGAGCTCTGCAAAGGTAACGTTTCCTTGGAGTCTGGACCACAGTATTGTCACATGGTTGAGCGGTCAGGTGTAACGGACAGGGTGGGGTTGCGGCCGTGGCCTTTGAGGGCACGTGACCTGCTAGGTCAAGCACTCCCCGTGTTCTTAGACTCCTGAGTTCCGTCACAGGAGTAGGAGGGACCCAGGCGCCTTCCAGAGAGCTGTAGGGGCAGAGTGGCCGTGTGAGTGTGTGCGGATGGTGCCAAGGGAGCGCGGGCGAGGGGCGTGCCTGATCCCCCAGGCAGGGCGCAGTCTCTCTGCCCCGGGGAGGGTCAGGGCTCACGCCCTCGTGGAGCGTCTGCTCTGTGGGTGAGGCGGCAGTGAGCCCGGCGAGTGCCTGCCCGCTGGAGCTCACGGTCTTGATGTGCGATGCCAGACAGCACAAGTTGTCCGAGAAGAGTGGAGGCGGGACTTGGGCCGGGTGGATGCGGACGCCTGGCCAGGACTGTCGAGCCAGAGGCGGGAGCCATCGGCTGTCGTAAGCAGGGTGCGCTTGCCTGTTAGTCACCGCTAGTGCGTGCTGGGGGACAAGAGGCCTCAGCCCCGTGGCCACAGGCCAAGGGGAGCAAGCGGCCCAGCCGAGCGCCGTGCCCACGAGAGGAGCGCCGAGAGGAGCACTCACAGAAGGGAACGGCGGGGGCTGTGAGCATAGGCGCGGGGAGGAGTGGAGATGCAAGAGGAGAAGGCGGGCGCTGTAGCTGGCGTGAGGGCAGAGGCGTTGAGCGCGGTGTGCACGGCCAGCAGTGGCCAGGAGCCAGGGTGAGGAACCATCCGGGGGCAGGACGTCCCTGTTCAAGCGTAGGGGAGTGAGGTTTTCCTAAAAATTGGGGTTTGCGACACGTACTTCTCTTTTCCGAGAAAAGCTTCCTGCATCGGGCATCTTCTCGCGCCAAACACCTACTTGTTCTCTCCTGAAGGCTCTGCAGGGCCTCCTGGGTCCGTCCCGCAGCGTCTCCAACCAGCACCCCCTTTGTGATGCATACCGTTTCTTGACCACAGATGTTGGTGCACGGAGCTGCTGCGAGCTCGGCGATCCTGTGGTCGGGGTTGTGGAGTAGGGGGTGCCACGTGGAACCCCCAGTCAGCACGCGTGAGGCTGCACGCAGCTTCCCTCTGCCCCGGGGGCCCCGCTGCTGATGCTGGCCGTGCCTCGTCCTGCGTTCCACAGCTGGCACGTCTGGTTCGCTTACCGAGTCCTCTGTTCATCTTCAGGGCGCTCAGTGCTTCTGGGTCACTTTCATTCTGGGTTTTGGAAGGCTGTGGGTTCACCAGCGCCAGGGTCCCTCCCATGAGAGGCAGCAGGTGTGGGGCCTGGTGGTGGCAGCGTGGTTCCAAGATGGGGCAAACCCACAGAGTGCAGCCCTCGGTGTGGTGCTGCATGGGCCGCCAGCCTGGGAGCAGTGTGAGAGGCTGGAGGTGCTTGCAGGGTGGGGGCGGAGGGCGGAGGGGATCTCAGGGCGGGGTGTGGGTGCCAGCCCCACTGAAGGAGGGCCTGGATGCGTGCTCACCGAGCCCCCACCCATCGCTGGTCTCGCTCCCCACGCTCGTCCTCCACTGTGTGCTCTCCAGCTGTCCTGCCACATTGGGGATTGTTACTTTTAAAAAGTTTCCTTTAAATTCTCGCTGGACCCAGAGGCCAGTGAACTGTGAACTGATGTTATGACACCCTCCCCCACCCCCGTCCCCACCGCCACAGGCTGGCTCATTCCCATAACTCCAGGTGGCTTGGTGGTCAACGTGTCACCCTTGCTTTGGACCCTCTGCGATGCCTCGTGGGGCCCGTGCCCTGCCTGCCCTGTCTGCATCACAGGGAGGGCACCCCATCCCTCCTGAGGGTGCGGGTGCAAGGCTGGGAGGCAGGTGTGGCGGGGGGAGAGGGGAATGCTGGGGTGGTCTGGTGGAGTGAGGGCCAGGCGGGCTGGTGTGCAGGTCTGGAAAGAGGGCAGATCCTTGCAGAGCCACAGCAGAGGTGGCCCTGGCGGGGCAGGGTCAGACGTGTGTGGGGAATCGTGGCTGGATCACCAGAGTGGAGGCTCCACGGCAGATGGGTCAGTGGGCAAGAACGTGCGGGTCCTGAGCCATGATTCCCTGTTCTGAAAGTTGCAAAGGTGATGCAGTTATGAAAAGAATCCAAACCCCTTGGGAGTGTGCGAAGTCCACACTTCTCCACAGGCGCTATGCCTGTTCAGAGCAGTTAGAATCTAGTTCATGTTGAGAATCGTGTCTGTTGGCACTACTGTATGCAGGCACGGGGGTTCAGTGACTCAAGCAGATAAAGCAAATAGACCCTAACCAAAGTCCTCAGTGATGGTTGGGTAGTCCCGTGCGAAACTGAGGAAAGAGGCCAGGGAAAGGGTGTGATGGCGCAGACCGGGAGCTGAAGGAGGTGAGACAGGAAAACCGTCCCAGCTGAGGGTGCAGCATGTGCGAAGGTCCTGGGGCAGGACAGAAAGGAGGCATGTGGCTGGAGGGGAGTCTGTGTGGGGATGTCACAAGAGATCAGGCCTGTAGGGGTGGTAACCACCTTGCTTCTGCTTCAACAGTGTGCCGGCAAACTGAAGGAGCTACAAGGCTGAGAGACAGCCTGGGGCCTGGAGCAGGGAGGGAGCAGTGCAGTGCCCAGGAGAGGGTGGGCTTCCGGAAGAGGCTCCAGGGAGGGGGCCACAGGTGGGAATGGGGTTGGAGGGGTAGGGTACAAGGCATGTGGTGTGTGGGCAGCTTGTGGAGGCAGGCGCCAGAGGCATGAACGTGGGTGCTCCGTGCGGGACAGGGAGGAGATGGCCTGTGCTCACGGAGAAAGCTCTCACCCCGCGTGCGACGGAGCCGGCTGGCCCCACACCGGAGTTTCCCGGCTTCACTGTGCTGGGTCCAAGGACTGCAGGTGTCTGGGCTACAGAGACGGGGAGGAACGGCCCAGGGAGGGCTCTGTCCTGGACTGGGGTGCAGCCCAGTACTTCGTGCCTGCCTGTAGCCTCCTTCTCCCCCCCCCCCCCCCCCCCCCCCCCCCCCCCCCCGCCCCGCGTCCACATGCAGTCTGTGCGTTTACTGGGACGTGGTGCTCACAGACAGGTGACCTGTTGCCTGAGGAAGCGGGGTGGCCGCTTCGCTAGATGTGGTTGGGAGAGCTCCGCGTACACGTTTGGGGCCGTTCCTCTTGTAGCTGCCGCTCGGCGCCTGGCTGCGCAGGGTACGCGGTCTGTGGTGAATTTGGGGGCCGCCTTGTACCGCGCGCACCGCTGGCCGTTGTTCCACGTGGCCGCGGCCGGCGGTGTTCCCACGGAGGCTCTGTAAGTTCATTGCATCCCGGTGGCGGTCCCTGAACCTCACGTCCCTCCGCGGGGTTTCCCGGGTGTCCGGGCCCGAGCGGCGGACGCTCTTCCGCGAGTGCTGCGGTGGGCTCCGGGGGGCCGCCCGGGGTGGGTGTAGCGTTTCTGGTTCCATGGTGATGTGAATTTAATTGTCTCTTTTAGGGCAGCTGGTGGAATTTTTAAAGAAAATTGAATCTAGAGGTCCGCTCTCGTGCGATACTGTTCTGAAGATATTCTATCAGACGTGCAGAGCCGTGCAGCACATGCACAGACAAAAGCCGCCCATCATCCACAGAGACCTCAAGGTACCGCCTCCGGTCCGTCTCGCGGGCCTGCCCCGCTGCCCCCTGTCAGGATGGCCAGCTTGCCAGCAGTGAAGTGTGCGATGGCTTTTCCAGAGAAGAAGGAGCTTCTTAACGCCAAACTGGGTTTCTGGAAGTTTCTCCCCTGAAGCGGCGCCGAGCCCTCTCTCTGTGTCATTTGGCTTTGTGGCCTCCTGCGGCCTGGTCCTGTGGCTTCATGCCACCTGCTTGGCCATCACGCCCCCTGCCGGCCCTTCGGCCGGCCCGGGGATGCTCTCGGCTGAGGCTCCCTTCCGTCCGCCCCCAGGAGCCGGGAGGAGGCTGCCGCCCCTCGGGGTCGTCCGTGCCCTCGCCCTGTGGTCATCCGTCCCCAGGCGTGACACCACAGGGCTCGCTGTCCCGCGGCAACCAGTGCCGCCGAGGGACCACGAGGAGTGCGGACACGCCTTGGCCGGGCACCGTGGGGCTGCCGTACTCGCAGCCGCCCGCCTGCTGGGGACGAGGGGCACCGCGGTCCCGATTCTCCCTTTTCCTGGTGATTCGTGAGATAGATGGTTTTTGCTGTGTTTGCAGTCAGTGCCTTATTCTTCAGTTAACTTGCTTTTTGCTTTTTTTCCTGTTTTCTTGTCCATCAGGTTGTTGGTTAGCAGGAGCTCCTCCCTCTGTTCTTACGGCGGCCTTTTTCATGTTGTCTGTGCTGCGAATGCCTTCTCCTGCTTAATGGCCTAGTTTCTATTTCCCCTGTTGTGTCTTTGGGAAACTCAAGACTTTGTGAGATTTGCCTGATGTCCACGAAGCTCACACCCTGACTCCGACCGCTTCTTGGGGGAGCGGTGGCCCCCGCTGTGTCCTACTTGCTGGCACAGGTTGTTTTTGCCGGAGAACCTTACAGTCCCTTAGCGTTCTCTCTTGTCTGGTCTGTGGCCAGCTTTCAGGTATGAGGAAAGCGTGCCTCCGACCCGGCTGGTCTGGGATAGCGCCCTCTCCTCCTCAGGGCCATGTGCCCACGGAGGCCCTGGCGCCCTGTCTGTGCAGTGATGTCTCTGTTTAGATTTGACCTTGGGCGAGCCTGACCTTTTCCTTTTGTCCTTCAGCCCGAGTGGTCGGCACGTGCGCCCCCATTACAGAAGGTCTGTGAGGTGGGGGCCACCGCCCTGGACCCCGCTCACAGGGCTGCAGGGGTGTGTCTGGAGGGGCCTGGGCCGCGGCTGCCCTGCACACCAGCCAGCCCTTCCCTGCTGTCTGCATGGGCTTTCCTCAGCTGACTGGGGGCTGGTGGATTGTTTCAGGGCGTCAAGACCCATGCTTTGTGTGTTAATGCGGGTGCTTGTGTGTCCGTAGTTTTTTTAAGGGAAGGGATATCTAGAAGGGTAGAATCAGTAAAGGATCAGCGCTTGTGAGCTTAGCCCGGGTTGGACGTCCCTTGTCTTCTCAGCGCCCTCTGTTCGCCCAGTGCTGGGACCCCCTGCAGGTGTCCCTGTGGCTGGTGTGTGGACCTCACCGTGTGGCGCCCTGCGGAGGGGCAGGCGGGACACGGGGGATGGCAGAGACCATGGGGACGCGTGTCCTTCTTGTTCTGCTCCTGTGCATGGCTCCTTGCAAGCCTGCGGGCTGTGGAGTGTAGCCGGTGTCGGGCTGTTTGCTCTCATTATGGTTTGCAGGTCCATCCGTCTCGTGTGGGGACGCGTGTGCTCGTGCTTGTGCACTTGGTTGATGTCCGCTTCCTGAGCTGTTCTGAACCCCGATGCCCTTGTCTGTGCTTTGGCCCGTGGACGCTTGCACCTCTGTTGGAAGTCCTCACTAGCAGCGCATGGCGGCCCCTGTGCCCGCACTTTGCTACGTGACCCAGGTCATGTGGATGTGGCTTAAGTGGTCCTAGTTGGATTTTCCTTCTGCTAACAAAGTTGAGCATCTTTTCAAGCGTGTTGTACTTTGGACGTTCTCCGTGGGGGCGCCTGTGGAAGGGTCCCTTTCACTTTGGCTCATCAGAGCCCGCGCTGGTCACGCTGTGGCTCGCACCATCACCCTCTGCACAGCGTCTCCGATGGGATGCTCTGGTTTCAGTGGAGCTTCCGTGTCTTGCCGAGGCGTCTTGCCAGGCATGCTGTCCGGGGGACCTGGCGTCCACCTTTGCCCGTAGGGGCGGGTCTTCCTTGGTGCATCATGGGTGGCCCCCTGGCTCTCCCAACACCTTGCCTGGATGGCCGTCCTATTCCCTCAGCACCGCCTTGCCACGGGCGTGGCACTCACTGGGTGTCCTGTGGGGCTGTTGGTTGGTCCTGGACCCTGTGCTCCTTTGCCTTCTTTAACAGAGCTTAACAGTAAGGCCTGACTTCTTAGGGATCATGTGGCTCTTTTTGGCTCTTTGTGTCTCCACATGACTTTTTGAATTAGGTTCCTCCCAAAAAACTTTCTGGAATTTGGTGAGTTGCCTTGACTGTTCCCCACCCCCACCCCACCTCACCCCCAGAGCGTGAGTTGACAGACTTCCTATAAAAGGCCCGACTTTAAACATTTCAGCTTTGCATACCAACCTTCCTGAACAGCGCAGGCAGCCCTACGGACAGCCAGGCACGGCCACGCCCCTAAAGCTGCTTCTGGACCCGTGTTAGGAGATGTCAGTCTTTTTTGATTCTTCCACCAACCGTTTAAATATGTAAGAGCCTTTCTTAGTTTGCGGGCTGTGTGGAGGTAGGTGGGGCTGGACCACGGCTGGGGAGCCTGCTCTAGAGTGGCTGCGCACACCCGTGCCTTTCATGTCAGGAGTGTGGTCTGATCCCTTGTCTGTTTGGATTTTAAGAATTTGTCTAAATTTTTATAGTTTTCCAGGGGTGTCTGGGTGGCTCAGTCAGTCAAGTGTCTGACTCTCGATTTCTGCCCAGGTCGTGATCCCAGGGTTGTGGGATCGAGCCCCGCGCTGGGCTGTGGGCTGATCTTGGAGCCTGCTAAGATTCTTCTCTCTCTCCCCGCCCTTCCCCTCCCTCAGCCCCCTCCCCTGCCACTCTCGTGTATACACACAGGTTCTCTCTCTAAGATAAGAAAAGAAATCTTTAAAATTAGAGTTTTCTGAATAGGAAGTGTTTTGTGTGTCTTTTGTTCAATTTTTTCCTAGGTTCTTGATGTATTTGGTAATTTTGAAGTGGTATGTTAAGTTTTTTCATTTTTTAACTGATTTATTATCTTTAAAATGTTTTTTAGTGTTTATTTATTTTTGAGAGAAACAGCATGAACAGAAGGGGCAGACAGAGAGGGAGACACAGAATCTGAAACAGGCTCCAGGCTCTGAGCTGTCAGCACAGAGCCCGACATAGGGCTCGAACTCATGAACCACGAGATCATGACCTGAGCTGAAGTCGGAGGCTCAACTGACTGAGCCACCCAGGCACCCAATTAACTGACTTATTTTTTAAATTTATTTAAATTTTTTTCTTGAGAATGTGTGCAAGTGGCAGAGAGGCAGAGAGAGGTAGGGGACGGAGGATCTGAAGTGGGCTCTGTGCCGACAAGCGGAGAGCTGATGTGGGGCTCGAACTCACAGACTATGAGATCATGCTGAGCCGAAGTCAGATGCTTAACCAACTAAACCACCCAGGCACCTCTTTTTTTTTTTTTTTGGTAGTGTCTTTATTTTGAGAGAGCATGCATGTGCAAGCCAGGAGGGGCAGAGAGAGAGAGAGAGAGAGAGAGAGAGAGAGAATCCAAAGCAGGCCTCGTGCCATCAGCACAGAGCCTGACTTGTCGGGGCTCGATACCACGAACCGTGAGATCAAGACCTGAGCCAAGATGAAGAGTTGCACACTCAGCTGACTGAGTCCCCCCAGGCGCCCCTAACTGACTTTTATAAAGGTTTTTTGTGTGTTTGTATACCTTACATGATCGATTAGAGTTGTCTTTGATTTATGGTTGGTCGTGACTTTATTTTTCTGAGTTCCCCGTTTTCAAAGGTACACGTGCTGACTTCGATCAGAGAGAGGTTAAAATGCTGTTTCTTCCCCTTTGCGGGAGGAAGGCGCCCCCAGGCCTGGGTCTCGGCACCCGAGCCCCTGACCACCCTCTGGGATTCTGCAGGTGGAGAACTTGTTGCTCAGTAACCAGGGGACCATCAAGCTGTGTGACTTTGGCAGTGCTACGACCATCTCGCATTACCCGGACTACAGCTGGAGCGCCCAGAGGCGGGCCCTGGTGGAAGAAGAGGTGAGTCGTGTGGCACGTGGTGCCCTTTGTGGTCTGCTCGGCCTGGGTCTCCGCAGTCGCCGATGCTCTGGCTGCGGCCGCGTGGCCTGCCCGTCCCACATCCCGGCGTTCGCCTCCCGGGCTCGTGTGTGGGCCGGGAGACGCCGAATTTGAGGCTTACCTCATGTCTCCGTCCCTCACTTCATCCCAGACCTTCTTACGGCCTTTGTTAATTGCGGGTTTTTTTTGTATTGTGATAAAAAACACGCAACATAAAATTTACCATCTTATTTAACTTAACCATTTTTAAGTGCACGTTCCAGTGGCATTAACTACATTCGTCATTGGTCAGCCATCCCCACTGTCCATCCACAGAACGTTCTCACCGTCCCAAATGTGGTTATTAAAAAAAAAAAATTAAAAAACACTGAAAACTCTCCCTCACGGGTCCCACAGGAGACCCCACAGGAGATTGGTAGGTTTGTCCTGAGCACGTGTGGGTAGCAGGCAGCACAGAGCAGGACAGAGCCCGTGCACATGTGACTGTGCAGCCTGGGGGAGGGGCCTGGGGCGCTCTTTGGTGCGCCCTCCGCTGGACACCCCCAGCCGTTCCCCTAGGGGCTCGTACTTAGATAAGCAGCTCACAGAAACCACACAAGCCAAACATAAGAGACAGGAAGCCACGCAGAATGACGGGGGAGGGGAGGTGCTGCATCCGTGCTCTGCCGGGGACACCGAGGAAGCCTGCCGTGAAGGAGTCGGGGACGGGATGTGGGCCAGCGGGGCACCTCTTGTCTGGACGGAGTCCGTCCCTGGACCGGGTGTCATGGGTCAAAGCACAGGTGCTGCTGACCTGCTGGCTGTTCCTAGAACTGACTGTGCTCCATTACAACCCAGCGCATTCCTGCTTGTGCGTGAGAGCGTTCCTAAGGAAGTCATTCCCGGCAAAAAGAATACGTTTAACGCTCTCCTTCAGTTGTTCGGCTGGCAGAATGGAACAGCATAGCAGCGTGGGAGGGGGCCCCTCGGTCCCGTATGGTGGGTGGTTTTGTAACCGCCTCATGGGCTCTGAGTCCTGTCTCCATCACTGGTCTCAGTGGGTCCTTGGAGGTGTGCGAACACCCACTGTGTCTCACGCACACCTGTTTTTGGGTGATGGTTGCTTGATTGCCTCCGTCTCCCGGGCAGGGGCATGGGGGGGCGAGCTGCTTGCTCTGGCTTCCTGTCCTGTGCCTCCTCCCGCCTCTGCTGTGTGCCCTGGTGGCATGTGTGCCCCACTACCCTGGCAGGAGCCCCCCCACACCTCCTGTGATTATTCTTTATGAGAACTCGTGGGTGCCGTCTTTTTCAGGGTTCGTGGTGTGTCCTCAAATGCCCCAGATTCACTTCCCACTTGACCCTATGTTCTTTGTCGGGCTCCCATCCCTTGGGAGCCCTGCCCACTTGCTGGGGCAGGAGGGCGTTCTGGGCTGAGCAGGTGCCTGCCCTGCCGACCCTGCCGTGTGTGTGCCCGCCTTGGAGGAGAGCAGCCGGCTCGGGGTCAGGGGGAGGGGAGGCACCGGAGACCACTCGGGGCGTGCGTGCCTGTGTGGACACACCTCCACGCATGTCCTGTGGCAAGTCGCGCGTCTGTGCCAGTGCCTCCACTCTGGTGTGTCCGGTGGGCTTCTTGCCCCCCCACCCCCCATCTGTGTGTCCCCCTCTCCCAGCGAGGGGCCCAGTAGCGTCACCACGTGCACCTGCGCTCCACTCCAGCGCACGTCCGAGAGTTCTGGTGTCACCAGAGAGCGTGAATGTCCCAGAAGGAAGTCAGGGTGGATCTGTGGCCCTCGGGTGTCCCCCTCCCCCGATCTACAGCCCAGACCAGGCGCGTGCTCTCAGATGCTGTGTTGACGAGTCCTCGCATCTGCGCTCTCTCTTTCCAAGGGGTTTAGTTACTCGTTTGATTGCATCTTACTTTTTAATGACTTGACTTGACTTTTTGAGCGGTTGCTGGTTTCTGGGAGAATTGAGCTGCAGGCGGTGCCGTGTCTCTTCTGAAGGGATAGGCCCGCGGACGCGCGTCTCCCAGCTCCCGCCCCTCACGCTGCACACGCTCTCCTGGCTTCTGTTTGCTTTTCATGCTTTGTGGGCTGTGCTGGGTCAGGAGCATGGGTCCCTCTGCACCTGGGTCTCTTTGGCCAGTGCCACGTGCTCACGGTCAGGCCGTGTCCGGTGTCCTGTCGTCTGCACGCTTACAGGCGGCAGCATGCCGAGCGGCCCGCACGTGGGTTCTCGTGTCTCCTCAGGGTGTGAGCCTGGATCGCAGCGGCCGGTCTGTGAACAAATCCGGCGTAGAATAGGGCTTTCCACGGGAGCTTGCCGGACGGGCACAGCGGTGCAGAACCCTAAGTGTGCGGCTTGGCGACTTGTCCCGCGTGGGTGTCCCTGTCGCCCCACGTCTGGGCTGCGTGGTGCCCCCGGCTTCACCTCCCTCGCGGCATGCCAGGTGCGTCCGCCTGAGGACTTACGCGCTCTGACCCCGGGCCTCACCTGCACCCCTCCCGTGGCCTCTTCAGAGGGTTGCCGTGGAGTAGCACCTTCAGGTGGAGAACAGCCCATCACACTTGCCACGTGTTTGTGTTTCCTTGTCCGGCTGAGGTCGTGGCAGCGGAATCTGTAGCCCCGTGGCTGGTGTTCGCGTGTGGCGTGTGCGGCAATGCACGCCGTGGGCTGTGGCTCTCCCCCCGGGCTGTGCTGCCAGCCTGTCCTCAGTCCCGTGTCCTGCCCTGTATACGTGGGTCTCAGGATCTTGCGTGTGAAAACCTGAACCAACCAGCTAAATTTGGTTTAGTTCTCTCTCCCGTTGGAGAAGGTTCTTTGTCCACAAGATCCCATCAGGAGGCTTCTTTCAGAATAGCACTTCGTCTCAGAGACACGAGCGACCCAGCTCACGGCTCTGGACAGACTTCCTGTGGGTGACACCTGCTTCTCTTCACACCCACACGAGCTAGGGTGCCCGCAGTGAATGCTTGGCGTGCGTGGCTGCGTCAGGAGCACCAGAGGCACTCGGGAGACGGGCAGCAGTGGGGGTGAGGAGGGAGTTGAGCAGCCTGCCGTCTGTGTGGGACGCAACGGGGTGTGAGTGAGCGTCGTTCACAGACGTCCTGCGGGGTATTTGGGGAAGTAGCACAACATCGACGCAGGACGAGTGGTGCTCACGAGTGGCCTTTCCTTTGAGACGTCTGTGTCTGTCCTTCAGATCACCAGGAACACCACACCCATGTATAGGACGCCAGAGATCGTGGACTTGTACTCGAACTTCCCCATCGGCGAAAAGCAAGACATTTGGGTGAGGTGGCACGGCTGTGTGCCCGGGCAGCCGTGCCTCTGGGCGGGGGTTCTGGCCTGCCCACTCTGCTCCCCGTCCCTCTGGCCACCCTTCTTTTTTTTCTCCTTTCCTTGTCACAAGAACCACCGTGATTGCCCTTAGTGGAGCGGAACCAAGCGTAAGTTGGGTGGAGTGTCCGCGTGCTGCAGGGTCCCGGGGTGGCACCTTATGCCCGGACCTGTCTGCCGCCTGCAGGCTTGGGCCTGAGCTCCCCCTGCTCAGAGCCCCTTCAGAGAAGCCGGGGCTTCGTGCGGCCTGACCAGTCCCAGCCTTGGGTCTTTTTGCCGGTCTGGCCATGGCCAGAGTGAGGGCCGGGCCCCGACGCCTAGGCGACCCCGCTCCCTTCACCTTTCTGAAACCCTGTGGCGATTCCTGCCTGGCGTAGCACTCCTCCTGGGGTCCACTGACCGTTTCGTCCAGCATCAGGGTGCGGAACTTGGGGAGCGCAGCTCTGAGTGGCCCGGGGCTGCGCCCGCCGGTGCAGAAGCACCCTGCCCCTTCCCTGGCCTCTCCGAGCAGGGACAGCCCCAGACCTCCCAGGCCGCCTCCAGTGCTGACCCCGCCGTGGGTGTGACGGGCTCCACCCCGTCTAAAACGTGTGAATCGGTAGGATTTGCACGCTGGAGCCTTTTCTTGGGATGGTGGCAGCCTGTGGTGTCAAACTCACCGCGCATCTCCTTTCCACCCCAGTAGGTGCTCCTCAGCACGGTCGGCTGGGGGACACTCGTACGCACACACGGCGGTTGATGGGGGGACTGACGTTGGGTGCCGAGGGCGTGGCCTCCCCTGGGCCCCGAGTGCCCTGCTCAGTCTGGGCCACGAGTGTGCCCGCATCGGAGGCCACGGGGCTAGCAGGCAGCGGCAGACCCCCAGGACCCGCAGGCCTGCTCCCTGCGTTTCTGCCCTAGTGGTCTCTCGAGCTGCCCTGCTGGGTCCCAAGTGCCTGAATGTGGGAACTTTTCCCTTTGAAAGAATCTCTTGCTGAGAAAATAAGATTGTTGTTGTTTGTTCTTCCTCTGATCTCCATAGTTTGTGCCTGATGAGGGCAGAGAGTGGGCTGGGTGTGCCTGGAACTCAGACCAGGGTGTGGCTCCAGCTCCTTGACCTTTGGCTGGATGGGCCCCGCC